CCCTTAGTTTTTTTAATAATGTATTAGAGTAGATAACCACAAAGGCTAAAGGGCAAAGAAGTAATTGGCAAAGCTTACACAAGTAGAGATATTCTTTTTTATCAAATTCAATCACTTTGTAGATTTAAAATTTCAAACCAATCAATCTAAAGATAATGTCCCTTTCACACATATGTGTGAATATATTTTTCAACTCAAATTTGAAAATGTATTTTTTCTTTAATATCAAATAAATAAATTAATTAAACTTCACACATGCCATGCATGACCCATGTGTCAGTTAATATGGCATGTGATAAAAATGGGGTCTTAATTTATAACATTATATAACAAAATATAACAATATATAACAAGACACTATAATGCAACCTCTTATAAAACAAGCAACCAAATGCCAATTTAGTCCCCCGCTTAGGGATCAATGTCCAGTTGGGCGGTGATCCTAGAGTGAGGTATGGGTTGCCATGTGGCAGCCCTATGGCCACTCGGACGCCACATGGCACTACCAGGTCAGGACTAAAGTAGAATTTGAGATAAACAATATGAAAACCCTTATTTTTTTAGCAAATAAAATTCTGAAAAATTATCTGAAATTCACAATAAATATTAGCAATTATTAGGTTTTTCTCATCATTATAAAGTCGGACAAAAAATATAGTGAGATCTCAGGCTAATAATTATAAGTATCGGAGTACTCCATAGGGGTAGACCCGAATGATGTTCCGTCGAGTCTCAGATCGACTCAGTGGACCTATGTTCCATAGTGTAAAGCAGGGACACATAATTGGCCATATCAAAGCCGTTAAGCCAGAACTTCTGAACATTTGGCTCTCAATAGATTATAGGTGTACCCCCGTGGGGCATGATCCAACTCAATTACATGGGTCCTCTCAAAGCACATGTGCACTGGCTCTTCCAATCTCGGATAATACATTTGGAAGAGTGACTTCCTGTACGAAATGAAAATGCACATGCCATGCAATGGTCTCATGTCAGGATACGAACTTATATCCCATAAGTCTTAATCATTCGATACAGGGCGAATACTTAATAAGTACTCGGGTTCAATTTTTCTCATTTGGATTCTCCAAACCCTAGCCCATTGCAGCTAAACATGAGGCTAATCTATAAAATCCTAACTAGGAAGTGACCCTTACACCTCATTGAGACAATAAAAAACTTACCACAAAAGCTTTGTAATTGAAACCTGCCAAATTCTAATTTAAGGCAATAAAGAACTTACCACAAAAGCTTTATAATTGAAACCTGTCAAATTCTAATTTAAGGTAATAAAAAACTTACCACAAAAGCTTTATAATTGAAACCTGCCAAATTCTAATTTAAGGCAATAAAAAACTTACTACAAAAGCTTTACAATTGAAGCCTACCAAATTATAATTTAAGGTAATAAGGAACTTACCACAAATGGTTTATAATTGAAATCTGCTAAATTCTAATTTAAGACAATAAAAAGCTTACCACAAATGTTTTGTAATAGAATTTTGGTAAATTAATCATCATAATATATACAAACAACTGGATAACACTAAAGGTAAGAAAGACTAGGCTTTATAACTTGAATTACTAGGGCCTACGGTCCTAAAAAAATGTATTGATTGCAAGCATTGTTCTTTGGCATATATAACTACTTTTGTTTTATGGAAATGATCTTAAGATTGGTAGTTCAAAGTCAAGAACTCAATTCCCACTTAGTTATTAAGCAGTCTGCATAATCATATGTTCACACACAAGTCTATTTTTGATTTATACAAGAGTAATCACATAGAATATAAATCTATATGAATATTATATGATATCTCTAACGATCGTTCAATCATGGTTTTGTTAAGGTAAGTAAAAAATAATATGAAAAACCACATATAATGCATCGGATAAGAATGCATCCAGTGGCTCGTATCCATAAAACATAATCTAACTGTTGTTAGGACACATCTCACATTATTAATGTAGACCTGTTTTCTACAAGGATACCTCTTTTACAAACATAAATCTACAAACCTTGCTTTGATACCATTGTTAGTCCCAATAAAAATACTAACTAATAAATAAAATTAAAATCGATAAACAACTTACTCGGATCTGTCTTAAATCACACGAGGGACCGAAGGTTCCATACCATATCCTATAGCCCAAGCCATCCGGTGACAAACAACCTTGAGAGCCCTCTTTGGTGAATCTCATTCAACTCTTTTCTATCATTCTCTATCTTTTCTAGAGGGGTTAACCTCATTTTATAAAGAACACCTTTATTTAGTAACTCTCACATTCATGGTCTATAGGAGTTGAGATCGAAGTGTAACTCTTGCCTTAATTCCCTTAAGTGCAGCTAATTAGGATTAACAAGTTGTCACCAAACTGTTAATCCAATGTAATGAGCTAAACCTTAAACATGTCATTAGCCCACTAATGACTCATATAATAGGACGTCATCAAAGTATTCCCACAATTTACAAGGAATCCAAACACATCATTGGGTTTTCCCTCCAGTGATACTAGGTTTTTCCCACCAATGATACATCCTATTAAAGCTAAAAAATGGATCAATGTATATGGCATTGCCTCATGTTAACTACATGGGATTTCACATATACTTCAATATGGCTTTTGTACCATTATTGAAAAAATGAATTTTCGAGAGAAAAAATGGTCTGATAGGCCACATTTCCAACATACCCATGTTTCCACCAGAAGGAGAAATCGCAAAGAGATGGCTCGTTCCCTTGGAAGAACTATCCTAGATAACCACATTGTAAATTGCTGAGATCCTATTGCAAAATGGATACTCAGTCACACTAGCGGACTCAAGCTTGTTTGTAAAAGTCAGAGAAGACCGACTATCCATTATACTTGTCTATGTTGATGATCTGATTATTGCAGGGGATTACACAGAGGAAATTTGCCGGACAAAGAAGAATATGTCAGTCAGAGAGCTTGGAGAGCTTAAACATATTTTGGGTCTCGAAATTGATCAAGTAAAGGAAGGACTCTTCTTGTGTCAGCAAAAGTAGACTAGAGACTTATTACAAAAGTACGGAATGGTCGATTGCAAACCAATCTCAAAACCAATGGAGAAACATGAGGCTAAGCGTAGATGAAGGAGAAGATCTCAAGGACCCAATCATGTATAGACATATTGTCAGCACTTTGATCTATTTGACATTGACTAAGCCTGATATTGTATATGTTGTCGGAGTAGTTAGTCGATTCATGTAGAATCCAAAGAAATCTCATCTAGAGGCCGTTCGTAGAATACTGCGATACATCAAAGGTTCGGCTGATTACGAATTGTTATGTAAGAAGGAAAAGTGAGAGTTGATCGAATATTGTGAGGCTCATTTGCCTGGTGACCAAACGACTCGCCGATCTACCACTAGATATTCTTTCAGCTTTGGATCAGCAGCAACAGCTCTTGGTGTCATAAGAGACAACCCAATGTTTCCTTATCAACCACCGAAGCGGAATATAGATCTACAGCGATGGCTGCATAGGAATTCACATGGCTATCACTTCTGTTGGAGAACTTGCATCAGCCAATTGAGAAACCAGTGTCACTTTTTTGTGACAACCTATCAGCCATTCGACTGACTGAGAACCCCATCTTTCATGCAAGGATAAAATACATTGAAGTTCATCATCATTATACATGAGAAAAGGTCTTAAATGAAGAGCTCTCACTAATGTCAATAAGGATAGAAGAACAAATTGCTGATATATTTACCAAAAGGCTTAATGTCACCAAATTTGCTAAACTAAAAAAAAGACTCGGCATAATCAGATAATTGGTTGTAAAGAAGAGCCAGTGTTGAGGGGCAGAATTGTTAAAAAGCTAAAATATGGCCCTCCCTTATGCTATTACCTCGTTCTCTATAGCGGTTCATATAAGTCGGTTGTTAAGACAGACACTGAACAAAAGCATGGGCCAAAAGTGGAGCATCATGATCCATGTAGTGAGGCGGTGAGGCGGTTCCATATGCTCATAAATAGGGTGTGCGTGCAAGCCTTAAGTAGAGTTAGAATATGTTATATGAGTTAGAAAATAGAGGATGGGTTGGATGAGTGTTAAAAATATGTCATAATATTTTTTTTTAATAATGGAAGCAAGTGTTTATCTCATTTAGTTGTGCCAGATTTTACAATTGGAAGCAGAGCTTCTGCAAAATTTTACACGATTTATGTCAAATCATTGAATTGGCGATTTGGATTGATCCGAATCGATGATTTAAAAAATATTGAAAAACAGTGAACTACAATAAAACTTTAAATAAGAGGTTATAGGGTCGAATTTAGAGGGGACTCAAATATTAGATAAGATAAAAAAAAAAAAAGAATAGAAAAAGGGGGTCTTAAGGAGAACCGGTCTAGGACCATACCATCTTGAAGTTGGTTCCATCTGACAAAATTCCCATCCAGATCAACGTTCTGAATAAAAAATCACTTGGTTTTGAAAACAAACACTAGTAATTTGTAAAGGGTGTCGTTCGTATAAGTTTGCAACCTTAAACAATCAAATTAAGGCGCTCCTCTAAATTTTATCATAAAGGTAATTTTGGTGTAGAAAATTGTTAGGATAGCTCGAGAATTTATTTTGATATCCAATTATAAAATTTTAAACTCCATAAATGGTTCACATCAAGTAGATCTATAAACACATGAAAATCTTGAAATTATACAGTTCAGATAATGTATTGCAAGATACACTATTTTTGAAACATTATAACAGATAATGTATTGCAAGATACACAATTTTTGAAACATTATAACGTACTATTTTTTGAAACTCGAAATATATTTTCTTTTTATATTCATACATCTGGATATTGAAATGTGCGATTAAACATTATTTTATGATGGATTTTGGATTTGCACCCTAATACTACATTTGAAGAATGCAACCTTATATAAAGAGGAGAGAGTAAATATAACATTGAAAATTTCAACTAAATAGAGAGCATTTGGGCGAGGGACCACTGTGTTAACTCATGACCACCATAACCAACCTTTCCATGGACCCACACGCCCTCACCTCCGCCATAAGGGCCTCCACCTTTGCACACGGCCGAGCCCTCCACGCCCGCGCCATAATCACGGGCTTGCACACCCACCCCTTCGTCGCCAATGCCCTCATTTGTCTTTATGCGAACCTCGGCTCGCTGGAGCTGGCTCGCCAAGCCTTCAATGAAACTTCTCAGAAGGACATGGCCACCCTCACTGCTATGCTCGGTGTGCAGGCGCAGAACGGTGACATAACAGAAGCGCGCAAAATGTTCGACGCGATGCCTCAAAGAGATTTGGTGGCTTTCAACGCCATGATTTCTGGCTATGCGCAGGCGGGCCACGCACACGAGGCGCTGCTTCTATTTGTCAATATGCAGAGTGTAGGCTTGCGACCCAATGCGACGACACTCACCATTGTGCTCTCAGCTTGTGCGCAGGTGGCCTCGCTTGCGCAGGGCCAGTGGGCTCATGCTTATTTGCACCGGGCTCGTGTTGCATGCACTGTGACACTCAGCAACGCGCTGGTGCATATGTACGCCAAGTGTGGCCGGCTAGACCTAGCATTTCAGCAATTTGTGAGCATCAAGCCGAAGAACATTGAGTCGTATAACACCATGATGACTGGCCTAGCGGTCCATGGGTGCGGGTTGGGTGCGCTTTCGCTCCTTTCTCAGGTCCTAAAGGTGGACCTAAAGCCCGATAGGGTTACGTTCCTCTGCACTTTAATGGCTTGCAGCCATGCCGGCCTAGTTCAAGACGCGCTCATATGTCTAGACTTCATGAAACGTATATTTGGGATCGAACCTGATTCTGACCATTTTGGGTGCGTGGTGGATGTCTTGGCTCGAGGTGGGCTCGTACATGAGGCTCACGGGTTCATGGACGCAATGCCTTTCGAGCCCGATGTGCACATGTGGGGTGCATTGTGGTGCGGGTGCTGGGCTAGCGGCGAGACACAGCTTGCCGCACGTGCGGCAAGATGGCTCATGGAGATGGACCCCTCATGTGCGGGACGGCACGTGGGATTTGCACATGTGCACGAGATGGTTGGGGATAGAGAGGGGGCGGTTAGAAGGAGAGAGAGAATGGTTGAGATGGGGGTTGAGAGGAGGGCCGGGAGCAGTTGTATAGAGGTGGATGGCATGCTCCATCAGTTTTTGGCAGGGGATGTGTCTCATTCTAGGGCGAGAGAAATCTATGGTATGGTTGATGAACTTGATCGACGGTTGAGATCTTACGTGGGCGGGGTTTGACGACCGGATGGGATTGTACTTCGAAACGTACCTACCTATATCTTTTTTCAATCTTAATTTATGTATTGTTATAAGATTTTGGAAATCCTCTGAATTAGTAATTAGTAATTAGTTTGAAGCGGTTTTTTAAGACCTTGATTGGTAGGCTGAATTGTTTACTGATAAGATTTGAGTCGGATCGCTGAATTAGTGATCTATATCAGGCTAAATTTGTGATCTAGAAAAATGTTAAAAATAAATAAATTAAAATAGAAATAGAAATAACGAGATTTATAGGTGGGATTTAGAGGGGACCTAAAGAAACATTATTGTTTGGTAAATGATATAATGAGATCATTTACTTTTTAGTACAAGGTGGTCACAATTAATTTTGATCATTGGATATAAAATTGGATGACTACATTTATTTCATTGACCAAGCTCGAAGTTCAAAATAAAATTTCTCAAACTTGTGATACACCCGAACTATCAGATTTCACATCAAATAATTATAAGCAATTGTGAATTCCTTGTAGCAAAGGTAAATGGTCTCATTGTATACAATCTCTTATTGTTGATAAATATTTTTATTTCTATCAAGAATTTTTACTTTATTTTTTTATTAATTATCTAAGATACCCCTAGACAAAAAAGTTAATGTATTATGGGACAAGGATATCAAATGTCCATGTTGAATACATTAAATAAAAGAAAAAATTTATATAAGGATGCAACATTATAATGTATAACTATGGACGCACTTCAAAAATCCATCAGAAAAGGTAGTTTTAATGTTGAAAAACCCTTTGATTGATCATCTCGATATCGACATGTATGACCATGAAAAATAAAAAGATTTTAAGTTTCAGAAATAGTGCATTTTACAACATATTATCTACACCGTCTATTTTCAGGATTTTCATATGTTTATAGATCTCCTTGATTTTAATCATTTTTAAAATTAAAATTTTAGAATTAGATATAAAAATAGATTTTGAGATAATCTTAAAAAGACATCAAAATTATATACCATGATAAAATTTGAAGGTGCACCGTATCTCTACAGCTAAGGATGCATCTATATGCCAACTGCACCCTAAAAACTTGTCAATTGACATTTTTTTGTTTTTAGAAATCTACCACTTTCACTTCCAAACTTTATGGACGTGGGGACTTTGGCAGCACAAATTTGCCCGTAAGAGTCCGAGGGCATACGAGTGGTGGGAGTAGTAAATCAGATGTGTCACCGGGATTGATGATTCATCAATTTGGACTGGTTTTGCTAGTCCCTCTGGTCAATCCAGTTACCATTAAGAAATGTTGCTTTCTGAATTTTATTTCCCTCGTATTCCTCTTTTTAAAAAATAGTAAAAAGTAATCAAATTGTACCATTCATAATTTGAATCCTTAACAAGGGGATTTTGGAAATTTAGGGTGGAGCTAAATGATAAAGATACTTTTGGTCCCTACTTCGAGTGCCTTCACCATAGTGGGTATTAGTCCCGCATCACCTCACTTGGGGAATATGCCACACATGAGGCTTAGTTTTTGTAGCTTTTAGAGCTTTGAAAATTGGGAAAAAGTTTATATAGAGCCTACGATCTAAATAATCAAATTAGAACCTACCTCAAAAATTTCACTAGAAGAGGTTTAAATATCATCAAATTGATCATCTCGGCATCAATATGCATGGACATTAGAAAAAATAAAGAGATTTTAAGTTTTGGAAATAGTGCATCTTGTAATGCATTTTTTGACCTTCAGTTTTCAAGATTTTCGTATATATGCTCGATATACACTATTTTAGAAGCTTTAAATTTTTATAATAAAGATGAAAACATATTTTAAGGCTATCACAAAAATTTCTAGTGTGAAAATCATATTTTTTGACACTATTTGAAAGTGGGCTCTAATTTGATTATTTCGAGCCTCGGCTCTATACAAACCGCACCCTTGAAATTATGAAGTTGTATAAAAAGAGTATCTCTTTTATGTTTTTATGATATAAAGTCTACCTTTCTCCCTTCTTTCTCTAAGCGCCACTTATTTCATTATCTTTAATTAAGTATATATGCCCCGATTGTTATGGGATTGTATACTATGAAGCTATTTATTTTTGGTATAAGGAAGTCACAATCACTTTTAGTCATTGGATGTGAAATTTAACAGATGAAAGTGTGTCTAATTGTTTGAGAAATTTTATTTTGGACTTTGTGTCTAAACATTGACACATCTTCAACCACCCAATTTCAAATCTAACGGTCGATGATGATTGTGATATTCTTGTATCAAAAGTAAATAGCCTCATTATATACATTTCCTATTGTTATATACTTATAGACTAATCTCAAGGAACCGTGGGTCACTTACCCAAAAAATAAAAAAAGGAACTGTGGGTCAAATCCTATGGAAAGCAGATGCCAAGAGCTGAAACATAGGAGCAGTCTAGATCTAGATTGTTAGGATGTTAAGGAGGGCGACATGAGTTCGGATCAACTGACTATCGATGCATCTGAACCAATCATCAATCCTGCTTATGTGTTCTTCAAATGACTCCAATTGTTGTTTCGGATCACTGGTGCCCGAATCATCGATCTTTATTGAACTGGAACAGAGGGCAATGAGGCTAGTTTTGTCCACTTGACAAACCCCTCATTCTGTGGCTTCAATTTTGGCCTGGGCAATTCTGATCGACTGCCCTATCCTTGAAGTAATGAATCTAGACAACAGCGATTCACACACATATCCAGTGGCTAATCCCACTGGCCTCGAGGCATCCAATACCACATTATGTTGTGCTGATTGTTGTGATTTCAATGGAGAATAAACCATTTTGTGAGTTTTCTTCGATGTGTGAAGGCATTTGGCAAATTCCTTGGTCATAGAATGGTACTTGATACTCCATTGCCTTGCAACTCAAAGACTCACAAACAACCTTGGTAGGTCAGGGATTGAACTTGGGACTTGGCCTGTAAATGAGTCTAAGGAGAGATCAATGGAGCCGCTGTGAGAGTTTTGAGAACAAACGTGGCCCTGTTAACATGTGTACTTCCGAGGTTTACATCTCGAGCCTTCTTTTGCTGCTCATTGGCTTGTCTCGAACCTGGATGTTGCCTGCATTTTTAGTACATTGCTTGCATTTGAAAATTTGAATGGCGATATTAACCTTGGTTGTTATTTTATGAAGAGTGCGCGAGTGGCTTGGCCACTCTCCACCCAACAAACTCTTGGCCTCTCAACTCTAGGCCCCTTTTACAGGCCTTCTTCTTTGTTCTTGGCTTCATCTAAGCTTTATGCTCGCTAAACAAGAGATTTTTGGTGATGAAGGTTCACATCAGGGAGAGGCTCTTTGCTTGGTTTTGGGATGAATAATGGTTGTTTTGGGCAGGAATTTTGCCGGAAAGAATTTTAGTCTCCGGCAACTTAATAGCTGTTAACTTCTGCTCTAAGATATGGGAGTTTAGAAATGAGGCATTTTTTTAATGGACCCGGTTCCTACTAGTCCATGTAGAAATGAGGTGCCTCTAAAAAATATATTTTTGAAATGGATTTTTGGACTTAATATTTACGGACATGTAATCTTTAACATGGAGTTCGTGAATATGAATAAATAAATAACTTTTAAAAATTAAATATAATAATTCTATTGAGGAAACATTTGGGCCGATAGTTTCAATTGTTTTTAAATGGACCATCCATTTGCATCTATCTTTAAGATGGATACTCTATACCTCTGGACCTCACATGTAGAAATGCAGTCCATCCTGCATGAATCAATCTTCCTTCTTTAATATCCAATCCTTCTCTTCTTCGGGTATGTGTTAACTAGAAGGCGCGGTGGGTTTTTCCATAAGATTGAGATTTTTAGCCAGGTATCCTGAAAAGTATCATTGGCGTTTAGGGGTCAGAGGTGGGTTTCAAGTTGGGTTGGGCAAAGGTACCCGGGTTTCACCAGAAAATCAGAGTTTTCGACTGGGTTTTACACCTGCACTTCAAGCCTCAGGGAAAGAAAACCATAGTCTCCAGAGAGTTTTAAAGGATACTTTGACGTCGGTCTGAAGTACCGAGCAAGAAAGAGAGAGAAAACTGTGCTGATCGACGTAGCCATTGTCGAACAATGATGGAAAAGTGGACGGTCCGGCAAAGGAAAGGCTGGACCGGTGTAGGAAAATCAATATGGAATGGTTAACCGGATATAGGGTCCAAAGCGGTTAAACCGGCCGGTTCAACCGGTCTAACCAAGCAAGTCACGGGTGTTAAAAAAAATAAGACAAAGCAAAAAAATATAATAAAATATAAAAAATATATTTAAAACATGACTAAATAAAACATATCCAACTAAAATTAAAAATTAATTAAAAAAAATAGATTTTAAGGAAACAATTTGTGCCCATAGATATTTTTGAAAAAATTTAAACACGATTTGTGCCTAGGGAATAGGAAATATTTTGGGGTAAAGAAAAATAAGAAAGTGGTTAACTAGGTTGCTAACCCTAGCCGACAGAGGACGATTTGACTCTAGTGCAATCCGCAACCTAGTTTTCAATATGGGAAAAGTTTTAATAAAGTTGCAACATGAAAATGTAGAATCACATATGGACCTCAAAAATCTATCGAAAATGTTATTTTAATGCTGAAAAAGCCCTCTAATCGATCATCTCAACATCGAGATGTATGAATATAAAAAAAAAAAAAGTTTTTGAGTCTTGAAAATAATGCATCTTGCAACACATTATTTATACAGTCCATTTTCAAGATTTTCATATATTTATAGATCTACTTGATTTTAACCATTTTTGGATTTTAAAATTTTTTAATTAAGTATGAAAATAGATTTTAAGATAATACTAAAAAACTTTTACAATAAAATAATATGTTATGATAAATTTTAAAGTGTGTCTTAATTGGATTATTTAAGATTGCAACCTTATAAGAACCGCTCCCTTTCAATATTGATCAAAACTCAGGGCGCAGGCGGGAGAAGTACGATGCATTTTTATTTGTGCCTTATATAAATCACT